ATTATTATCATCCAAAGATTTACGTTCGCTACCGTTTTTTTCTGTTGGAAAAACTTTATTCGGCAATGTTTCCTCATGTTCTTCATTGATAATTGTTGCTATAATTGATTTATCGTTATTTTTATTTATGTTACTCTGGTAGAATTGAGATAGGCTTGTCGCCGTTATGAGGCAGATGAGGGTACAATCATCGGCAAAGAGGATAGTATCAGTCGGTAGGTCTACAACGGTAGGAAGGTCATTAATGAATATTAAGAATAGGAGAGCACCAAGGATGGAGCCCTGTACTACTCCTGATATTACGGCAGTTAGTATAGATAGTTTAGAGCCAACGGTTGGACAGATAGTTCGTAAACCATTGTAGGAGTATGTCTGATCAGAACTGGAATTCCACTTTTGCCTAGGCATAATTGGAATTCAGCATGTGTATATATATATATATTCCAGTTTTGCCTGGGCACATCTAGAATTTGACTAAATTCCAGTTTTAGCTACAGCTTATATTTGTCTATAGAAATTTATTTTACTCTATCGTTCTATTTAGACGCATGGAAGTACAACGACGAATTCAAGAAGAAATTCTTGGCCATGAGTCATCGGAAAAAGTGAAAGTTAAACGAGCAAGTTTAGATTTACCACGAGATCATGTTAGTCCTAGTCCAGAGCATGAATTTCATGACATAAACAACAAAAGTAATAATGATCGTTCAAGAAGTATTGTTGTACAACGTATATCAATTGATGGCGATGAAAATCATCGTTCACAATCGGAAGATCGTTCTAAAAAATATCGTCAACATCGTACAAGTCCTTTACAACATCATCCATTAGCATCTTCAGCAGATAAAGATCATAAACAAATTTTAAAAATTAATAGTGCTTTAAGTAGTTCAATTGAACGTGCATCTCTAATTGGTTCTGATCTAGAAAATACAAATGAAGATTGGTTGATGATGAATGATAACAATGGAAAATACCGTCATAAAACGTTAACACCCATGTAAGAAGAAATAATATAGAGGAAAAAAAGAAGTAAAACGCCATTTACTTATATTCTATTATAGGATTGGCAAAGAAAATTTTGAACTACGAAAAAAACTATTTGAACGTCTGAATGAGAAACAAGATATCGAAGGTAAGATTAAGCTAATGTCAATGTTTGAAGAGTGAACATCCTTGTATATAAAGTAGTAGTTAATTAACAAAAGCAAAACTAAGCCATCATCTATAATCATTTATGATTTTGTGTATGTATGGATGTATGCATGTGAACAATAATGTATCGAATTGAAACGTTAACTGAAGCGAGTACAATATCACATGACTATTTTGGATGCCGCCGTGAGCCAAAATCTGGATTATTTGCCGAAGTAGGAAGACTTATAAGTTATTTTGAGGGTATCAATGATCTAAACAAAAATATAATTCAAATTGTCTCGCCATCATTACCACAGATACATAATTTAAGCTGTGGTGGTGCCGATGACAATAGTACATGTCCATCACTGACCATTTCACATCAGAAACATATTGAACGAAGAAAAAATCGAAGAAATATAAAAAAAAATTCCATTACAACAACCACATCGGCGAATATTGTATCACAAGCAACCACCGTTACTCCCGTTACAATACTAAATAATTCTTCAGATAGTAAAATTAATGAAAATGGTGGTGGTTGTGAACAAAGAACATGCAGCCAAAATACCTCAAATATTGATCATACAACACCGTATAGTACCCAATCGAATTCAAGTGACTCAATCGTTTATCCACATGTACCGGAAGTACTAACTGTAACAAATAAAAATAACGATAAATCAATTATAGCAACAATTATCAATGAAGAACATGAGGAAACATTGCCGAATAAAGTTTTTCCAACAGAAAAAAACGGTAGCGAACGTAAATCTTTGGATGATAATAAT